AAAAGGAAGAGACTTGGAGCTACTCTATTCAACTTCGTGGGATGACCAGATACTCTCAGGGAGAAGTATTCCCATATATACTGTAACTATGCCATATAAAGCTTTAAAGATGATAACCAGCACTTAGAATTGCATTCAGAAAGAGTCAAAGACAATGCAGCTGAGCAAGAAGATACCCAACATACACACACCACTGCATTCTGTATCACTTCTAATTACTGAAAAATCTTTAAGAGCAGCTCAGTGTCAAATTTCCATCCCTAGAATGAGTGCAATTGGCATAGAAGATGATCTGTGCATACTCCCCTGACTATGGCTGCCACCTGCTCCTTAAACAAGAATTACAAGTCCAGGAAGTCCTTCAAATTTCACACCAGCTTTGTGGAGGGAAGTGCAACCCTATCAAGAACCAAGATTTTGCCTGGGATTTAAAAACCCAGAGCTACTCCTCCTTACTAAGATAATTCTAAGCTGGCACCTCCCTATCAGGCCCTTACAATCTCCAGGCACTGGGACGCCATCTCAACAATATTATCTCCTTTATCAGGCAGCGGTAATAAAATACAATTGAACTTTCATAAGCATAGTGATATTGCACCCCTTGACAACAAATAACCTTGTCCAACAGCTTCATATAAAAAAGGAGAAGTGAGAGATCAAAGCTTTGAGGCACTCCACAATGCAGAAACCTAAAGTTGGGTCTTCCCCCTACAACACTGATTAGAAGTGATCCTACAAAGAGATGAATCACTGTAAAATCATGCCTCCTAACACCCAAAGCTAGACCAGAAAGATATCCTACTTGATAACGTCAAAAGCCACCAAGAGATCCAGGAGAACCAGGACAGCTACATCACCTCTGTTCCAAGCCTCCCAAAGGTTATCCACAAGGGCAATCAATTTTATTTATTTCTTTATGTCAAATTTAGAAAACCTCACAGAGTGATTCTGGTCAGTGTACAACTAAAATCTAAAACATAAAAGCTAAATATAATTATATTTAAAAGCTGGGAAGGCCTTCAAGACACTAACCAGCCCATGGCTGTGTACTGTTGTATGAGCCCCAAGGATGTCTGCAGAGCCTGATCTTCAGATATTTCAAAGGACTAGTGAAGCAGGAACCTGCCTTGCCTCGAGGAGAGGGGAAATGTTCCAGAGGATGGGGCAACTGCAAAGAAGGCTCTCCTCCTGGAGAAAGCTCTCCTCCTGGATTCTGCAAGTCACAATCCTTTAACCACTGGGGTCTGCAACATACTTCCCTGCCTGACCAGGTGCGATGGGACAATGACTGAGACAAAGACAATTACACAGGTAACTTGGCCCATGCCACATAAGATTTTCAAGATCATAACCCACATCACCCATACTCTTTGTTGAGCCTTTGTTGAACCCAGACTGAAAAGGGTTCTGCTAATTCAATTAAACACACTTATAAAGGTTACTTTTCTTGTCTTGCCCATTATGGAGTATGACCTTTCTGTTACACATTTTTTCACATGTATGCACATTTATGTGTATTACTTCCACATATTTTGTGGTGGGGAAGAAAGTTCCAAAATCAATTGGCAGCTTGTCACATAGTTGTGTCTGTATGTTTATATTTATTCTTCCTTGAGATTCTTTTTTTTATAAAGAGAATAACTGTTTTCATGTCAGTAACCTCAAATTGATTATTTCTGATTAAGTCACCAGTAGACTGACAACAGATATATATTTCAGCAAATACAGTATATGAGAATTATCCAGAATGAAACAATGGTTTCATTCCCAATTATTTATATTCTGGAAAACAATATAATCTGAATCAACACATTTTACTAAATTATATTTCTGATATTGCTTGATTTACTACTACTATTATTACTTGATTTACCCACTGGAATCAGGTGAAACCATTATTTTCAGTCAACATTTATAACAGTTTGATCAATTATAAATGTTGGGAATCAATATTTTGCTTCAAAACGATTTTATAAATTATCAGTTTTCAAATACAATTCCAATCCCACATCAAAGCTGAAAAATGTCTTCTTCATATGTAAATTATTTAACAAAGTTACATAATAACTTCAGACACCAGGGCCACATTCAAACCTAAATACAGGGAGTCCTCACTTAATGACCAGGACTTGAGCATAATTAAAACCAGCAATTCTGTCACTAAGCAATGGAGTCATTAAGCAAAATATCATGTATCCATTACAGACTTGTGACCTCATTTCCATCATGGTTGCTAAGCAAAATATCACATCACTATGAGTTGCAATTTTACTACAAGCTTCTCCACTGATAGTCAGAAGCTGGCTGTGAAGCATGGAAATGGCAATCATGTGACTATGGGATGCTGCAACAGTTGTAAAGTGTCTGAATCTCAATCACGTGACTGCCAGTATGTTGCAATAAGTGCAAGGACCAGTTGTAGTTACTTTTTCAGCATATGGACATAACCTGGAACAGTCACTGTTGGTTATGAGAAGCTACCTATATCTTAAACACAACTTAAGACAAACAATTCCAAAGGTTTTTAGCAAAGTGTAAATTTAAATGCAGTTAGCTCAATTGCATTCCAAAGTAGTTCAAAATTGGTGCACCAAACAGACTAGGCAAAGCGTCTCCTAGCCACGTCTTCCACCTGTAGTATCTGCAGGAACTGTAAGCCCAGGAGGAACCACAAATTTACATGTGCTTCTTTAGAGCTACAGATGGAAGTAACATACAGCCAGATGAGTTCTGGGTAAATCCATAACTTTCATTGTGTTGTTTCATCTCGTCTAATTTTTCAGAATTACCAGACTAACAGTGCCACACAATCTCCTGCTTAGCTCAGGATATAGCAATGCAACTTGGTATTATTAACATACAGGTTATCCTTCACTATAAACCAGTGGATGATCACATGAGTAATTTCAAGAATAAGATGCTACCACTCAAGTCTATTTCTCTATAAAATTTCAAAACAAATTCTTGAGTAACCACCTAAAGTCTGTTAGGTTTGTGAAATGAGAATACCAGTAAATCTAGATAAAATGAAAGGGCCCTTTGTGTAAGTGTGTAGATCTCCTTATTCTGGATTGGATCATAATTTGGAGGAGATTCTGGAACCAGATTTGTTTTCATTTTCCAGGAATAGGAGCATTTACAATTTCTTTGCTACATCAACTGCATCATTTTTAGAAAAATCATGTTGGTAAAATCCAGGCTACATGATTCTAATATGCTCTTGAACTATATACAAAATAAACACATTTTGCAAACCGTGTTGGCACAAGTTAATCACTGTTTTAATACACTAGTTTAGGCACATCCTTTGAAAGGCTTGCACAGCTACTGTATGTCAAAGACTGCCCTAGTTGTCTTTATATACGCATGCACAGATGGCACTTGCACAAGCCTGTCAGAGAACACATCTATGTAAGCCTTTTGAGTTGAAATGTTTTGTTCCAACACATATTTTGTATAAAACATATTTTAAAATGTTTTGCACTTTTTTAAATGTGTTCTACATGGTACTACCTCCAAATTTGGTACTAAAAAAGATTATACAATTATACAGTATCTATGATAAAAGCATTACATTAACTGCAAAATTATTGCTAAACATAAATTGTTGCATACAGTTAAGTTCAATATTACCTCAGAGAACACTTTTAATCCAGCTCCTTTCATGGTTCATTGACCTGAAGGCTTCTACCTATAGTTTCCACTGGCTCATCAGATGATGACAACTAATTAAACCTTCTTTGTAACCCCAGAGATCCCAAAATAACTCTGTTATTCTGATGAACTGATACTGTCACATCTTTTAAAAGGCCTTAAAACATAAATTACTAAACTGAAGCCAGTTTACTGGGTGGGGAAGTGGGTTTCATTTATAAAAATATTGGGGCAGGAAATGGTAATTGCTGACTGATTAAATTTTAATGTTTTAATTTTACTAATACTTTTAGGATATTTATTGTAAATGACAATATAAAATGCCTAATAAATCTGTTTTAAATATATAAAAATCAACAAGTCTTAAAGTGGCCCACAGGCAGTTTCACAATTTCAATGAAGTCATATCTATATAGCTCAGATGGCCCTTTGCATTCCAATACATATGTTCTTTATTTGAAAATCTCCTGTATTCTCCATACTCAGCTGACACTGACATTTTAATCTATAAAATATTATACTTACAGTAAAAACTGCCTATGATAATCTACTGAACTGGTAATACATTGCAACCCCTCATTCTGTTTGATATGCTTAATCTCTTATACATGAATACTGAATTAGAATGTTTTCTCAAACATCACCATTTTATCCAATTTTCTGGCATTGATAGCAGTAAACTACCAATTACCATTTCCTGCCCTAACAGTTTTATAAATGAAACCCACTTCCCCACCCAGTAAAAGATTCCCACCACCAAAAGATTCACTCCCTGTGTCTCCTATAATATCAGACTTCCAGTTCATGGACAACATGCTAACATAGCACTGGGTTTCTTTTCTATAAGTTTTGCAATGACAAATTAGTATTAGAACAGGCTGGAAGGACAGGATTCCTAAAAGCCTAGGCATTTCTGTTTACAAAATATGTTTCCCAAGGCATAGCAATATCACTATTCCCATTAATGTGTTATAGTTTTTCATTCCAGTAACATAATAGTATCTCCAATCTCAGATCACTTTATAGTAACATGGAAGCTTCATAAAGAAGCAATGTTTTAAAGATTTGTTTATCCTTTTTTGGTTTTATGTAGCAGATTAAAGCATTGATTTAAAATACCGTATACATATGATATAAGCTTACACTAATATGTAGAAGTTCACTATTATACATATCCTGGAACCTCGTTTCTCCCTTCCACATCAATACACAACGATGTGGAAATGGTGGGAGGGGGAACGAGAAGAATCAAGGACGATGACAGAATCTCTTTCCCCTCAACCTCGCATAGGTCAGTATGGCACACCCATTCAATTTCCTTCCTTCCTTCCTACCTTCCTACCTACCTAGGCAGGGCGTCAGCCGAAATGAATCCCAAATTGCTGATTTCCTCCTCGTTCACCTACTCCGGTGTCGGGCTCTGTCCAAGCACCCTTTCGGGGCGCGGCAACTTCGAATCCTCCTCCTTCCCGTCCTCTGTCCCGAAGTTTGGGGGAGGGGTTGCGAAGCAGAGGTGTGGGGGGGGGAGGGTCTTTCCTGCCTGCCTCACCACATCTTGATAAAGGAGCGGCACACTACGTCTTCCTCAGAGGCAAGCCAACTGGGGGGCTATGCTGATGGGACGGAGGCGGTGATGATGGCGGCGGCTGGGCGCTCCCCCCTCTTCAGTCATTGAGCCGCTCTGCTCCTCCTCACAAAACAACCGACACAGCGGGAGGAACAGAGAAGCAAAGGGCGAGCGCGCGCCGCACGCCACCCGCTCGCACGCGCGGCTCCCCAATGAACGAAGTGATGGTGGTGAGGGAAGGGGGTGGCACCGCCTCGCGCTTCTTTAGATCTGCGCGCGCAGGCACGGTTGCGCACGCGCCACGCGTTTGCCAAGTCAGACTGTATGTCCTACGAAGGGTGGCGCGCTTCGCTCTCGCTCTCGCTCTCTGTCTTAAGAAGGAGGGGGAGTTATAGCCCGCACACAGGTGGTGGGTTGGGCTAGCACCGACAACATTTCCTCCCCCCCCCACCTCCACGTTCTACCTGTGAACAACAGGGGGCGCACGGGGGCGTTTCTACTGTTGGCTGTGTTTCTTTCACACGTTTGCCCTGTTCGCGGCACGCCCCTCTCTCTCAAGGTTTGGGTTTCTGTGGGTTTGGAAGAAGAACTATAGAAAACCGAATTTCCACAAGGGAAGGGAAAAGATTACTATTAATAGCAAGGTGAGGTTATGCAATATTTAAAGATGTATATTGCTCACACGTTCGTTTTCCTATATAGAATCTGGTAGTATTATAGCGAAATACGGTCTGAAATGCAACGTCCATTTGTAAGAAAAATGCAATAATGCCAACATTTAAGGAGAAAATAGACAAGTACTCTTGTCTTTTTGGGTGTACTGCTGTGAAAGATGGACATGGAGAAGATAAAAACCTTCCAATTAGATAATTACTAAGAATACCATGGAGGGAAGATTAAATCAGTTAGTCCTGAATTAAATAATTGTAATTTTTGCTCCCTTGAAGAAGAAGAAATTTTCGCCTTTGGGACATGATGAAAACAACTGACGGGGGAGGGGGGGAAGGACTGAAAATGAAGTGGAGGACTAGAAGAAGACCTGTGCCTGACAAAGTTGAGGGAAGTAGAAAAAAAGGGGGAAGGTTTAAAATCAATAATGTGAATGTATAAGATCAAAGAACTTTCAGGACTGTCTTTGAGATAGGTACAGGTTAATATTAAAGACTCATCAAATGGTTAGCACTTATTCAGTGAGTAAACAGGAGTCACCTGACTCAATAGCATCTACCCAACCCAAATCTATGATAGATCTGATCTTCCATTATTATGTAAACCTGACTGTAGAAGAAGTTGAAATCTATATACAATTCTGCATTCTATATAAAACAAAACTATAATATTGTATATTCCCATCTGGATTTTAAATTACTCCAAGAACTTAAAACTCTGAAAGTTGGCATAAGCATGTTTGTCAGCAGAATATCTTTTAATCACTGTTGTGGTTTTCATTATTGTTAAAATGTATGGGGAGGTTACAATGCATACATCCTCAGATTTCTGGAGAAAGGCAAAGTCAAAATACACAACAATTCATTATTTTAGTATAAGCACAATTTTGATATAAACAAATTACTTGGATTATATAGATATAGCCCTGATTTAGGAATTCTGTGTACATGCTTTATAAAACTTCTATGGCATTTCTTGTTTGAATTTTCTTACAAACCAATCATACATTGCTTAGTTTTGTATGGCACACAGCTGGGCTTTTAAGAATAATATTCAGTAGCTAGTTGAAAGCTTCTTGGTATAACCCAAGGGTGCTTTCTCAGGAGGCAACTTGACTTTCTTGTTTTTCTTTTTTGAAGATGTTTTGCTTCCCATCAAAAAATTCCCAAATATATCTGACAGGATAGTGGGGAATGGAAGGATTTATATTCCTTGCAGACAGCTGGTAATTTGCACCTTTTTAGAGGGTTATTGAAGCACTTGGAGGTTTATCTGTGTCCTCGGGGTTACCTAAGTAGTGTTCCTGGTTCCTGTACTCCTGAGTACTAAGGTGACCCAATAAAGGCTAGACAGCATTTTGCAAATGAAGAGGGGAGAATACTGATGGTGGAGATAATAATAAATCAAAAACAAATTTTGCTGATAGGGATATATGCACCCAACAATAGGCAAGATGAGTTTTATGGGAAATTACACAAGAAAATAATAGCACTGGAATATGAAAATGTCTCTGTGGTTGGAAATTTCAATGTAATTGTGGATACAGAACTTGACTATAAGAGAAATAAAATAGGTTTAAAAAGCCAAGAAAACACTTCCAAAAACCTTCTTTAAAATGATGGAAGAGCTATAAATGCAAGATGTACGGGAAAGATACACCCAAAGAAAAATCAATATTCGTTCTACTCAAATATGCATAAATCCTGGTCCAGAATAGATATGACATGGATGACACTGGAACTGAAAGCATGTGTACAAGAGACAGAAATAAAACCCAAGCCATAATCCAATGAAAATAGTATGAAAGGAACAAAAAAAATGAAGATGGACATTAAATCAAGCAATATTGCAGGAAAAAGAATTTATACAAAAGACTGAAAAAGAATTGGATTTTTTTTTAAAGAGAATAAGAAGGAAAAGATTTCATTACAAATTGTATGGGGTACCATTAAAGCATATACATGGAGACTAGCAATAAAGTATATGGGAAAGACAAATAAGAGGAGGAAACAAAACAAGGCATTGTTAGAAGAAGAACATAAAAGATTGGAAATGGAATTACAAAGAGAACCATAAAAAAAGGTATTGAAAAGTCATATAATAAAACACAAAATGAATTTACTGGAAAAAGAACTGGCATACAAAATTAAAAGTGTAATGCAAAACTATTTTGAGAATGCAAACAAGCCTGAAAGATGGTTGGCTGTTGAAAAGACAGAGAGAGAGAGAGAAAGTTGATACATCAACTAATTGATGAGAATCAATTATAAAAGAATATTATAAGAAATTGTATGATAAAGAGGAACTCCTGGAAGAAAAAATGCAACAATATTTGGAGCAATCTGACCTGCCTAAGGTATCAGAAACAGTCAAAGACATGCTAAATGAACAGATAACCATGATGGAAGTCACAGAAGCTGTTAAGAGACAAAAAAGCAATAAAACACCAGGGCCTGTTGGGTTGTCGGCACAATTCTACAAACAACTACAAGGGGTACTAAGTCCAGTGATGGTGGAAATTTATAATGAAGTACTACTAGAAGCAAAAATATTAAACTCATGGAAGGAAGCCAGTATTAACCTCATACCGAAAGACGACTCAGACTTAACACAGATAAAAAATTGTAGACCAATATTATTGAATGCAGATTATAAAATAAATGCCTCAATAATAGCAGAGAGGTAAGTCAACAGGAAGTTCTTCTGCTGGACAGACGGGGGGGGGGGTTCTGAAGAGCCTCACATGAACAGTCCCTCGCAGGTCAGAGATTTGCCTATGAATTGGAGTTGGGGCGGCAGCCTTCAACATGGCTGACAAGATGCTGGCTTTTTGTCAAGCAAATGGAACAGGAGGGGAGTGGAAGAGATGACAGACTGGTTAAGAAAATTTACAGCCATAAATTAAATCTAGAAAAGGCAAATCTTGAGAACATAAATAATATTGATGGTCAAACTGGGACTTCCTTTTTCCAAAAGAAAAGGAAGAAAGGAAAGTGAAGGGTTGTAACACCAGCGCCGCCGCCCCCCCAGAAGCTCTTTGTTTGAAACACTTTCAGACAGAAGGAGAGAAAACAGAGAAGTGACAAACCCACTCAATTATAAACTTTACATTTGGTTTTGGATTTGAAAAAGAAACCAACATTCTGAAAGGTTTACTTTTAGTTTGTTTGAATTCCTTCCAGCTAATATTATCAAGAAAAAAGCATGTCTTCTTACTGATAACGGATCTCAACCTTGACAGTGCAGGAAGTTTGAATTAACCATCTGCCATTAATCAGAATTTGGGAAAGTAGGAGGCAAGAGAACCTTCTGGTTGATTGCAAGTTTGCTACAGTGATTTATTTTGAGCAGTTATTAAAGAAAAGAATAAATATTGGACTTAAAACATGGGGAATATGAAGGTGTTTTTTTCTCTTCTCTCTTCTTTTTTTCTCTTTTGCAAAAGATTAAGATGGCATCAGCTTCTCTTCCAGTTTCAAAGTAGTTGGATTAACCAAATTTAAGGTGGACCAGAATTTTGAAATAAGCTTTGTATAACTAACTGTAATTTTGGAACTGGATATTAAGGAAGAACAAAAGACTAAGATGGCTTCCATTGCTTTTCCCTACAGGAGTTGAAGTAGATAAACTTAAGATGGATTAGAACTCTGAAACAAGAATTGTATAACTAACTATAGCTTTGAAACTTAACATCATGGAAAACTGGGAATTAGAAGAACTACGTGAAATTATAAAAATATGCATAAATCAATAAAATCAAGCCTAAATAGAATTCTGAAGCCAGGGAAGCAGAGACTTAAAGAAGAATTCAAAGAAGAAGAAGAAGGGGGGAAAGACATTGAAGGGGGAGAAATGGAGGGAAATAAAAAGCAGACAAAAAAACTCTATGAGTCTTGGCAGTGGTATAGGGAAAACTGTAAAAAGAAGAGGTGTCCCAACAAAAGGGAATAAAAAGCAGACAAAAGCAATTTTGGAGATTGTTAGTGGCGTAAGGAAAATTGAAGCAGAAGACTATGCCCCAACAAAGAGAAATATAAAATACTCTTGTGAGGGTGGCCTGGGATAAAATGATGAGAGAGGAAGTGTTAAAATAAAGAAAAGGGAGACGACTGGAACAAAGAAGTGGCACAAAAGACGTACTAGGGGAAAAAATCAGATATCTAGATAAGGGAAAATATAAAGCAAGATAAGGGTCTTATTCCTAAATATGACAATAAAACGGAGTTGCTAACTGGTTGAACATAATAATGGAAAGATAACTAAAAAAGGCTAAAATATACAGAATATGGATAATTATGAAACTGATATGGGGAGGTTGTAAAGCAGAGATTTGTAATTAACTTTTATACATGATACCTGAGTTGTGAATTGACTGAAAATGACAACACAGGCATTATTGCAGATAACAT